ATCAAATGCTGTTGTCATGGACCGTCAAAAGCAGCTGCGAAAAAGGAGGTTTCTGAATGTTCGGTATGGCTGCACTTGAAAGAGCAGAGCACTGGGATCCCTGGGACGTCCGGAGCCGCGGGACATTCAACAAGGCTGGTAAACCGCAAGGCTGATTGTTGCCCTTGACTTAAACGAATTACCAAGTTAAAATGTGTGAATTCAGAATTCAAGACGGTCAACACTCACCCTGAAAAGGGTTGCCTCAATTGGCTCCATGGCACCATGTCGGAGCCACCATGGAAATCACACTAGACAAGAATGGATCATTATATGATCCGGCAGGAACTGAATCCTGAAACATGCAAACCAGCCTAGATCGTTAGATTAGTAAAGGAGCCATATGAGGTACTTCTCGAAAACGATGTAGGGCATCCAATATTGTCAAACGTAGTTAAAACCAGAGTCCAAAGAGTTTTGACCAGCATGTTGAAAATCCAAAATAATGTTTCGGCGATTGTTTCCCAACAATACCCAAAGTTCGTCGGCGACATGATCTCGGCGAAATAAGTCAAAAAATCATAATACTGTCGGCGATATGGTTTCGGCGAAAATCTGAGGAAGGTTCTGATGCATGTAAATGTCAAAATCGATTCCAGATTGCGTCAACAGTGCAGTAAATTGAAATTATCAAATAAACGACGCGGAGGTTCTTGGGTTGAGCCTCTTCCCATTCCAGAAAATTGGCAGGTACGCATGGCTGATCAGGCCATGTATCACCAGGGAAACCAGAGCGTCTTCGTTGGTGGTAGACTCTGGACCCTGCTACCACCCCCTGCAAATGTAAAAGGTTCCCTGCAAATGTAAAACGGTAAGAGTCAAAGAAGTTTTACATCTGTTCAGATGTTACACACACACACACACTTGCTCAGAAACATCTTATCGAATTACTGATGTGGAATGCATCGCACGTGCAAAAACACTTCAGTTAAACCTGACAGGAATGGTTTGATGATTGGAAGTGAGAAACTGTGCGAGGAAATCTTTCTACGTCCTTGCTCGAAGGATTTACTTGTTCTGATGCAGCTCAGTCAGATTGCGAAAACCGTACAATAGTTTGAAAACTGTTGGAAAAACGACATGCCGGTTCTTGGCTTAGCCGGTTGCCATTGATGAAAAACTGGAAAATTGCAGGTACGTTTTCACAGAAACATTGCAGCGTCTTCGTTGGCCGCTGACTGCAATGTTCCCCAGCGGCCCCCTGCTGAATTGGAAAATCCAGTTCATGATTGAAAAAACGAGTCAGTAGAAACGAAACAGCCAAACCATCGCTTAGAAGTTTTACATCTTTTCAGATGATCCACACACACACCCTCCCGCAGGAGGGTGAAAAATTAAGGTCCGGACAGTGAAATGAAAATGAAAATGAAAGGAAATGAAGATGAGGTGAAGATGAAAATGAGATGAAAGTTACTTAACCAGGACGCGAAGAGGGGAACGCAACGCAGAGGGAAAGAGAAAACACCAACACAAGGAAACCTGGCCCACCACGGGCAAACCCTGAAAAGGCAAGGAAAAAGAAAAGCGGAGGCAGACGGAAACGGAAAAAGACCAGCGGAGGGGGGGGAAGGACGGACGCGCCTGAACCAACCTACCACAGCGAACCTACGCCTACCTCAGCACGCGCAGAACCCAACCTACCTGGAGAGAGGAGAACGCAGGAACACATGAAATAAGGGACCCATGGGGAACTAGTTAATGAAAAGATGCATCCACATTGCCTGCAAGATTCGTGATAAGGCTCAAAGGCCCTCGGCATTCAAGTCACAACCCTCTGGACGGCTTACGTGTTCAACCCCTGAATTAGGTGCACAACTTCAACCTCACCGAGAAACCAAAAAAGAAAGATACCACACCTTGAAAGCATGTCCTGTTACCTGATCATGTGTAAATGGCTGCGGAGTGGCTGTCTCTTGAAACAACAGGAAGGTTGTTGTCGCAGCTTAAGACTATGCATTGGCTGTCCAATGAAAATGGTGAGGCCAGGAAAAGCGGCCAGCTGTTCAACACATCGACATCGACAAATGAGAAAAGGAAAAAGGTGAGGCCAAGCACAGCGGCCAGCGGTTCAACACAACGACATCGACGGGTGAGACAAGGAAAAAAGGCCGGCTGTTCACTTTACTTAAACGAATTACTAATTCAAAAGTGTAAATTCAGAATCGTTTTACCGTCAATTGTTAGCCTAGAAAGGCTTTCCCCGAAGGGCTCATACCACCTTGACGGATATCGGCATGAGTGACACACTTGCTCAGAAACATCTTATCGAATTACTGATGTGGAATGCATCGCACGTGCAAAAACACTTCAGTTAAACCTGACAGGAATGGTTTGATGATTGGAAGTGAGAAACTGTGCGAGGAAATCTTTCTACGTCCTTGCTCGAAGGATTTACTTGTTCTGATGCAGCTCAGTCAGATTGCGAAAACCGTACAGTAGTTTGAAAACTGTTGGAAAAACGACATGCCGGTTCTTGGCTTAGCCGGTTGCCATTGACGAAAAACTGGAAAATTGCAGGTACGTTTTCACAGAAACATTGCAGCGTCTTCGTTGGCCGCTGACTGCAATGTTCCCCAGCGGCCCCCTGCTGAATTGGAAAATCCAGTTCATGATTGAAAAAACGAGTCAGTAGAAACGAAACAGCCAAACCATCGCTTAGAAGTTTTACATCTTTCAGATGATCCACACACACATGTCACATGCAGATTGCGTCAGATGTCACCCGCAGACACGGTGAGGGCAACAAACCCAAAAACAAAAAACATATGCTCGATTTTTTCGCCGGGAACCCTTTTGGCCCCACCATATTCTCACAAGAACAGCCACGATTCAACTCGTTTTGAAATGCGTGAACGCACATCTGCCATTTAACAAAATCATGGTCAGGACATAATGGGCACATCATTTTAGCAATTGACCAAATTCCATCACAAATGGATTTACTAAAGACGATTGAAAAAACATGTGCACACATCTTTTGCCGCTTGCTTGTTTCTTGTGTTGTTTGCTGTGATGGAGCTAGAACATCTTCTACGCATTGGATTGCCAATTGTTGGCTTCCATTTGCCCGAGGCGGGGTGTCGGAACCTCTTTGCAGAATCATTATATACAGGTATAGACTGATAGCGCTACCCAGGTACTTCTTTTTTCATGTTCATTTGATTTTTGTATTTGAAATTGACGAGGCACCCCTTGTTTTTCTTCGCAGGATGATATCTGGTGTTGACAGGTTCTAAATTCATCAAAATCTGCCGATATTTTCAGGAACAAACAGGTTTTGGGGTTCAACGTGTGAACATATTCATTGGGGACACCGACATATGTTCTAATTTGCACGTAGTTGCAATGTCGTGTTTTCCGTTTTACTTGCCAAATTGATTGTTTTGAGGATTCGGGATGAATGAAAACAACAGCCAATGCATGGCTGGGTTTTCATTGGCTGGGGATCAGTTTCTGGGCCCCAGCATGTAATTTTTCCAAATGGAACACATGAAGCGAACTATAACATACTATAACTATCTAGAAAAGGTGCATACCTCTAATTTATGGCAATTTTGATAGTGCAAAATTAGTTTGACCTTCTGACACTGTTTGGACAGGCCCCAACTGTGGGACTTCCTTGGTTTCTTTGTCCAACCATTGAATCATTGATGTTTTTGTATGTTTTGCGCCAGTATGGTGTTGACCAGGCAGACGAGCCCAAGCCCAAAGAATGGTTTTTGGGGGGTTAAAAACCGTTGGAAGCTTGTGGAGTGGAAAGTGTTGTGTAGAGTGTAGAATGTAAAGAATGTAGAGTGTAAAGTGTAGTGTGTAAAGTGAAGAGTGTGAAGTGTGGAGTGTAACGTGTAGAGTATAAAGTGTAGTGTGTAAAGTGTAGAGTATAAAGTGTAGTGTGTAGACATGGTATGCTTGGTAAAAGCAGCGAACTGTGCTGGCGGTGCATATGGTTCGATTGGAGGGAAGAAAGGGCGTGGCTTGGGGGGGCCATTTGGAGTGGGGCTCTTTTAGGTAGCTGCTGGGAAGCAAAGGAGCCCGCAGGGTGAAAGTTGCAGATGGGTGCTGATGCCTGGCGGTAGGAGAGGAGTGTAAAGTGTAAAGTGTAAGTTGTGGAGTGTCGAGTGAAGAGTGTCGAGTGTAAAGTGTAGTGTGTACAGTGTAGAGTGTGGAGTGTAAAGTGTAGAGTGTAAAGTGTAGTGTGTAAAGTGTACAATGTATGGAGTGTGGGGTGTAAAGTGTAAAATGTAGAGTGTAAAGTGTAGAGGGCGGAGTGTGGAGTGAAGGGTGTACAGTGGCAAGTATAGAGTGTGCAGTGTAGAGTGTAGAGTGTCAAGTGTAGCGTGTCAAGTGTAGAGTGTGGCGTGTAAAGTGTGGAGTATGGCGTGTCAAGTGTGCAGTGAGGAGTGAGGAGTGTAAAGTGTAAAGTCTAAAGTATGGAGTGTAGAGTGAAGAGTGTAAAGTGTAAAGTGTAGTGTGTCAAGCGTAGAGTGTGCGGTGTGGAGTGTAAAGTGTAGAGTGTAAAGTCTAGTGTGTAAAGTGTAGACTGTGGAGTGTGAAGTGTAAAATGTACAGTGTACATGATTCCAAGGCTGGCATCATGTTGGATCCTAACTCCGTGAAATTTCGTTCAGGTTGTGTGCTGGCATGACAATGAATGGGGCTGTCAGGCTCTTATGCGTTTCTTCGGAAAGAGCAATAAAATAACTTAAAATAACTATTGAAATGAACACCTCTCGAGTCCGATAAATTTCCCCGACATGACGTTGACAATACATTGAAACTACAGGGATTTACAGTGATACAGTGGTGATGCAGCACCCATTTCATAGTTTTTATAAATACATGTAACTGAACAACCTTATTTATAACTTGGTCCCAGCTGTGAGTGTGCTGCAGAAAAGATTGATGTGTCCGTTGTGGATTTCACTCTTGAGTTGGGGAAGACTTACCAGGAGAACTGCGCTGAGATGAAGAAGCGATCTGAGGGTGACATGAAGGGCGTCCTTGGCGCAGTCCCAACGGATTGCGACACCTGCTCGGACGGCTCCGATGATTTCAAGGCTGGCATTATGTTGGATCCTACCCCGAGAAATTTCGTTCAGGTTGCCTGTTGGTGCCAGCAGGCCTGTGAGCATAGAATTGGCCGACATTCTCCGTGTATTCCACAGCTAGTGGCTAGCAGGTGAGAAAAACATCTGGGATTTACATCCAATTTACTAAAACTACTAGAGCATTTTGGGTACTCAATTTCCAGACACCCCCGGTGTGCTTGGCAAAACAAATTGAACCATATCCCATGGCCCATCCACCAGCGCCCCTGGAAACACCTCTTCCTGGACAATTTTTACATTGCCATGCTTCATTGCCAGAAAGTAGTCTAGTCATCTAGTCTAGTCTGTCTATCTGAATCTATCTGAGTCTATCTATCTGAATCTAATTGAATCTATCTATCCGAATCTGTTTATGCGAACCTAGGGGACGGTCAGGCTTTGTCTATCTTTCTCAATCATTGACCAGACCGCGCATAAGGCATCTTCACCACTGGACATTGACTAGTTGGTTCAGCATCCATTTCATAGTTATAGTTTCCATATGTATTAATATAAAGAAACATATATATATAGTATATATATATATACATATGTATATATATATAAGGTCCTCCACCCACATAGAATATGGAATTGAAATTTTGGCTTCCCGGGGCATCCCCAGAATTGAACTTGAAACAAGATACTTAGAATACAGTTGACGTCAAAAAAACTATACTTAGAATATCGTTGGGCCATATAATTTCTTTCACTTTTCCAGACGAATTCGTCATTTTTCCATAGAAATTCTTCACTTTCTTTATAAATCCTTCACGTTTCCATACAACTTCTTCACTTTTCCTTCTTTTTGTCATACAATTCTTTCACTTGTTCAGTCAAATTCATAATTTTTTCATATTTTTGATTTTTCTTTATAAATCCGTCACATTTCCATACAAATTCTTCACTTTTCCATAGTTTTGCCATATAAATTCTTCATGTTTCCAAACAAATTCATTATTTTTCCATATAGATTCTTCACTCTCCTATGAAAATTCTGCATGTTTCCATGCAAATTCTTCAGTTTCCATATTTTTGCCATATATATTCTTTTCCCTTTTCAGTCAAATTCTTCATTTTTTCCATAAATATTTCT